AGCGGCCGGGTGTTTGCACAGCTGCGGGGAGGAAGGGCCGGTGTGGCCGCCAGGCATTCGCACACCAGAAAAACAGGCCTGGGGAGGCATGGAAGTCTAAGTAAAGACACCACCTCGGCCAAAGCAAACGGTGCCAGACGCGGAGCCGCAGGGCGTCGGGGAGAAGGACCGGCACGACCCCGGACCGGCCACGGCCGCTGCATGGTGGTCATGAGCTGTCCACACGGCCACGCAGAGCTCCGTGCGCGCGGAGGCCTCGGTCTGCAGAGCCTGGTGCACTCCCCCGGAGCCTCAAAGGACGAGGAGTGGGGTGCCTCTCAGCCTAGCGTCCCTGCAGCCCTGGCCAGGCCGCCCGCTGGCCGCAGCCTGCCCTGCTCCTCCTCGCCTGTCTGCCCTCCGGCAGCGCTGCCCACCCAGTGCACACACCCTTCTGCCTCACCCTGTGCCACCCGGGCCAGTGGCACAATCTCCCAGCCCTGCTGACGCCCATCGGCCTCCGGATGGGCACCAGGGAGCTCAGGGGTTAATCGCGGGGGAGCTGGGCACCATGGTGACGTGGTGGCCATCCGGCCATCCAGGAGAACGGAGGGCGTTTGTGAGCCACGCCCACGCCGCCACGGACGCCTCGGGGACGTGAGCTGCCCCCCTTCCGCCCGGTCAGCACGCATGTGGCCTCTCGGATTAGGCCCCGCAGTGGCCTGTCTGGGTGATGTGTGCAGGGGGCAGGCTGAGCCTCCATCGCTGCCTGCCCACCTCTCAGACCCTCAGTCCCCACACCCTGGCCCGGACCCAGCCCTGACCTCTGCCTGTCACAGCCACTGAACACAGACTGAACCTGGGACGGAGAAAGCCACGGATCGGAGCCACGTGCCCCGGCGGGGCGGCACACAGCCTGGGCGCACGCTGCCCTCAGTGGCATCCTGGCAGGGGTCTGCTGGCAGCCAAGATCCTTACTGAAGGGCCTCCTCTTTAGCACGTGGTGCAGGGGTGCAGGGAGCCCGGCAACCCAGCAGGGGGCAGCGTGGTTGGGGTGGGAGACTGACAGGCTCTGACTGACATCTCCCCACTGGCCTCCGAGGCCCAGCTCCCACCACAGAACCTGCTAGGCTGCCCGGAAGGAAAGACCCGGCTGTGTCTTCAGCCCCGATTGACGGAACGCACTGGGGCCCAGGGAACCGCGGCTGCTCCTCTGTGTGAGGGGGGTGGGGGAGCTTCCGGGACGGGAAGGTTCGGTGGGGCAGGACAGGGCAGGACTGGGCCCGGAGGGAGGGGGCTGCGGCCAGAGCAGGATGGCAATAGGATCATTTCTTAGGTGAAGTGTACTGGGGTGACAGTGGTTAGGCAACGTGACCCATTTGAAGGCTCTTGACCTTGAGGAAGTCTGACTGGAACCAGCTCTCTGAGAAGATGAAATGGAAGGGCCTTGACTGGGAGGGCAGCCCGGCCGGTGTGGCTCAGTGGTTGAGTGTTGACCTAAGAATCAGGAGGTCACAGTTCGATTCCCTGTTAGAGCTCATGCCCAGGTCACAGGCTCAATCCCCTGTGTGGGGTGAGAAGGAGGCAGCCGATCCATGATTCTCATCGTTGATGTGTGTGTCTCTCTCCCTCTCCCTTCTCTCTGAAATCAAGAAAAATGTAAAATAAAATGGAAGTGCACTGGCTTTCAGGATGGTGTTGGTGAGCACCCATCCGAGCTCTGGCTAAGAAGTGTCCTCTGGGGCCTGAGCCCTGAACAGCATAGACGGTCTCAAACTCAAACTACAGGCAGCTATTGTCTCTCTCTCCAGAACCAATAACTCAGAAACCAGGAAGCTATTAGGTTTAAATGCGCCCCCACAAATAAGGCAAAACAATGTTAAGTATAACAGAAAAAATAAACAAAACCGAGTAAGTTGATATATTTTTAAAAACACTTAAAATATGTCCTTTTCAATTTGGAAACCAAAATCAACATGAGCATTTTAACCTGTGGAACTGAAAACAGCCCAGAGCTGGAAACACATGCAGGTGGCCATGCAGGAACGCTGCGGGCTGGTTTCTGAGTGTATTTTTATTGTTCACGGAAGAATGAGGGTGATTGTGCTAAGGTCCCACACCCTTCCTGCTTCAGGGATAGCGCTCAGAAGCAGCGGTATTGAATAACAGTGTGAACCTTTTACTAAGACCAGGCAACTCTAAAACGAGACCTGCCTAGTGTCCATGGTACCACGTGGTAGAAACGGCATCTCCATTTCACAGATGGGAAAACTGAGGCCTGAGAGGCCCAATGGCAGCTGCAGCCACGCTAACTCAGCCTGGGAAGACCACGGAAGGCCCGCAGAGGGGACTGTGATCGGTTTCTCATCGGAACCTGAGGAGCACCTTCCACACAGACATTTGCTCAGAAGCCATTGCAGTTGCTTAGCTAACTCGAGCCCCTCAGGCTCAGACACCAGACCTACCGCCTGTTTCAGCCACGTGTGAGACCACGGCTCTCACCAGCGGCCACGTCTTCTTATCGTCGAGTGACTGCTCACTTATCAGGACCCGATGCCCCCCGAGGCTTGATGTAACAGGAAGAGACTTCCCATCGCCTGCCAGGCCTGCAGTGCATTCCATGTTCACCTCTGGCCACGCGTTTATCCCGCGGACACCGAGTGCCCTGGGCCGCGCGCAGCCCCGGCTGCTGACCACACAGATGGCGCCCAGGCCCTGGCGGAGGCCAGCAGGTGCCGGACAGGTAGATGGTGACGGAGGATATGCTCTTGTGGCAAAAACGAAGCCGTTCCTCCCACTCACCACCTATCTGCCTTGCCGGCAAGTTAAGCTCTGAGTGTTAGCTGGCCACACGGCCGCGCAGAGGGGAGTCGGCATTACCTGCCTCATCCGAGTGAAGTACGGCTCTCGGAGCTTCGAGTGTCAGGGGAAGGGGGCCATGGCCGCGCCCTGAGGGAGGCGCTGTGCCCGGCTCCGGACCTTCCCTGCGGACTGCAGTGAGAACTCCTGCCCCAGAGCCAGAGCCTGTGGAGGCCGAGGGGTCGCATTTCAGGGACAGAGGAGCCAGTCAGAAGGTCACGGCCATCCCCAGCCCTAGACGGCTTCCCTCTGGACCGAGCTGGTGTGGGCAAACATTGCTCCTGTGCACTTCCTGTGGGGGGGGGGGTCTCCGTCCCTCCCGTCGGACGTAGATCCGCTGAGCGGCCATTGGGAGTGAAGCTCTTTGTAGGAGATTGGCACGGGGGTCAGAGCACTGAGAGGACAGGGGCAGCTGGCCGGTTGAAGCTGGCCTAGTGCAGTCACGTCTCAGTGAATGTCCGCACTAAAGGTATTGATTAGATTCCGGTGAGAAACCGTTGTGCCAAAGCCAACAAGGTAGACAGACGTACAGAGAACCAGGAGGCAGAGACCGAGGGCGCTCGTGGCCTCTGGACAGGGGACGCAGGGAGGTCTCGGGAGCAGGTCAGAGTCCTGGTGCAGAGAGCCCTAGGCGGAGTGGGGGAGCTGCAGCCAGTGGGCGGTGGGAGGGGGGACAAAAGCAGGAATCCAGGAATGGGGGCCCACTGTGTCCCAGCCAGATCCCACACTCCCTTTCCTGCCCCCCCCCACCCGCCCCGATCCCCAGCGCTCACAAGGTCTCTTCCAACAGCGCTACCCAGTCAGGAGGCTCAGCTTCCGCTCAGAGCTGACTGCAGCTCAGCATCCAACATCCATGTCAGAAGACTCCCGTGTCCCCAGACGGACATTCCCCATCCTCCCTCCATGGTGCCCACGCCCCAGCCAGGGGTGGCCTCCTGTCCAGTGCGTCACTTACCTTCTTCCTTTTTAAAATAGATTTTTATTGATCTCAGAGAGTAAGGGAAACAGATAGAGATAGAAACATCAGTGATGAGAGAGAATCATGGGTCTGCTGCCTCCTGCACGCTCCCTACCGGGGATGGAGCCCACAACCTGGACACGCGCTCTGATTGGGATTGAACCGTGACCTCCTGGTTCATAGGTCAACGCTCGACCGCTGAGCCACACGGGCCTAGCGCTAGCCCTCTTCCTGAGTTCCACGGCTGTGAGTGCCCACACCTCCCTCTCAGGGCGGACACCCTGCCATCCGCTCTAATCCGTGCCCACCTCGCCATCGCAGCCGGGACGCAGCAGTGGCCCTTCCTCCTAAGCCGGCTCCATCCCTGTCTCCTCGCAGAAGGCGGCCCAGAACCCTGCTGTCCCTCCCTGCATGCCTCACCCCCAGATCACAATGCAGAGCCCTAATCTCCGCTCCATCCCGCCAGGAGGCTGAGGCTGAGTGTCCGGGCTATATATAGCCCTGACGTCAGCGGACGCCAGGCTCTCGGGAGGCGCAGTCCCCGGAGGAGCGGGGCGAGGACCATGCCATCAGCGGCTCAGGGGTAGACCTCGGCCCAGGAGCACCCCACCCGCCGCGCCTCCCGCCACCGGGCCGTCCTGCTGGGAAGCACGGGCGAGGGCAAGGTGAGTGCAGGCTTCCTGAGCGAGCTCTCCCTCCGAGGTCACGGGCTCGGGGCTGTGGCTCACAATGACATTCTTCCCCTAAGGGACAGCTGTCGATGCCAATTTTAAACAATCGCCCCCACACAGCATGCCGGCCTGGTCTGCGTCCCGGCCTCACTGTGCAGCCTGCGGCCGGGGCTGGATGCTGGGGAGGGGGCCGGAGGGACACAGGGAGTCCAGAGGGACGCGGGGGGAAGGGGGCAGAGGGACGCGGGGGGCCAGAAGGGCGCAGGGACAGTGAGCCTGAGCCGGGAGAGCTGGGGAGAGCAGCTCTCTCGGTCCCCGCTGCCTGGGCTCCTTGTGTGGAGACAAGACCCACCGAGCCCGCGTCCCCTCTGCTCACTGCGGCTGCTGTCCAGGGCCACAGGCTCTGGCCCGGCGGGCGGGGGAGGCAGATGCCTCCAGGGAAACAAAGGCTCTGACAGGACGGCACCACCTGCCCCTCCACCTCCGCCCCAGCACCTCCGCCGCTTCAGCACGTCTGTTTCCACAGGGAACACGCGATGCTGTCACACAGTGCCACGGGGAGGCAGAGGAGGCAGCAGGCCTCGGCCATCATGCAGGAGGTCCACCGACACGGTGCCCACGCCCCGTGTGGAGGGGACGTAGTGAGGGACACGGTGCCCACGCCCCGTGTGGAGGGGACGTAGTGAGGGGCACGGTGCCCACGCCCCGTGTGGAGGGGACGTAGTGAGGGGCACGGTGCCCACGCCCCGTGTGGAGGGGACGTAGTGAGGGGCACGGTGCCCACGCCCCGTGTGGAGGGGACGTAGTGAGGGGCACGGTGCCCACGCCCCGTGTGGAGGGGACGTAGTGAGGGGCACGGTGCCCACGCCCCGTGTGGCCTGGATGTGGCTCAGCACTAAGGGGCCCCCGGCGTGTAGGAGCCTGTGGCCGCTGTGGCTCTTGGCGTTCGGGCAGCGGGCAGGAGCCGCCGGTGTTAAGCCTTTGTAGTCACCCTCATCTGGAAGCTATTTTCAGAGGAGCGGCTGCCGGCAGGAATGCGGCACCGACAGCTGATGTGCGTTCCGTGGGGTCTGCCATGAGCAGCGACCAGCTCGGCTCTTCCCCCTCTGGGCAGGCCTCCCGTGGTCTCACGTCCTCCCCCGCAACCCTCGACGTACTCTCCCTTCTGCCCACAAATCACTCCAACAGGCCCTGTCGTCCCTTCCTTGCCAACAACAGAGGACAGAAGGGAAGTGGGATCCATAGTCATCGGCACTCCTTCCCCCTGAGGCCGTCATCCTCCTGAGTGATAACTCAGCGAGGACTTTGGCTGGGAATCTTTTATTCGTGATTCCTGGGAAAAGACGAAGCTCTCGTCATCTCAGCGCCCACGATGCAAACCATTCTCCGGAGAAGTGAGGGGCGCGGTGCCGACTCTCCCTCCAGACCCAGACGTTCTAGCAGGGGCTCCTCCTCGCAGGCTGATCGCTGTAAAGAAACAGCTTTGCCGGGGCGAAGGGTGGCATGGAGGTCACGGAGGCAAAGCGGCGCCGGGGCCTTCGGGCTGAGCTGAGCCATTCGGGCAGACTGTGGCTCTGCCGGAGGAGCCTCGCCTTCCCCCGAACAGCCCTGCGGCCAGGCCTGAGGTCTGGGGCGGGCAGGGAGCGGCGTGGCCACTGGCCTTCCCTGAGGGAGGGAGGGGACTGGGGAGCCAGTCCGATCCTCCGACAGCGCAGGTGGGAGTGGGTGCCGGGCCGATCCTTTCCTGGTTCCTGAGAGACGAGTCGGCACAGGGACCCGGCTCCGTGCCCGTGGTCCATGGTGTCGAACCGGCTCGGGAGAACGTGAGGAGGATCCGGACTCGGTTTCCAGAACCGACACCGACCCAGAGTGCCCAGGTCCACGTGCAGGCTTCCCCTGTGTACCTCCTGCTTCAGGGCATCTCCAGACACGGTTCTCACCGTTCTCCTGACAGCGGGCAAAGTCAGGAGTGTGAGACCAAGTTGCTTCCCTTAACACTAGACCTGAGCTGCGTGACCATTTTCTCATTCCTCATAATCCTATAATCGCGTGTCAGACCCATTTCCTGAACCCCAGTTTACATCCTACGTGGGCCCTACTCTGCCAGTCCAGACACACACCTACAAGGATAAGAATAGCTTGTCTTTATAGCGTAACGTTGGTGTTTATCAAAGATTTAAAAAGTACAATTCTGTCTCAGGGGGAAAACCCCAACACTGCTGCCTCAGCCCCAGGCGATGCAGGTCCCCCGAAGCCCCCTGCGGGTCACGGGGAGCCCACCCTGTAGCGGGGTCACGGGCTCAGCCCTAGTCCAGGCTCCCGGTGCCAGCTGGCAGGGTTGGCCACGCGGCCCTGAGTCCCGCACACAGAGCAGCTCTGTGTGTAGGAGCAGCTTCAGCCACCCCTGTGGCTCCCCCGTGTCTCCTGGGGATGCTGTCTGCTTGCAGCTTGGCCTCCGGGACCTGGAGGTCCGGGGGGGTCACTGTTTGAGGAAGTGGCACGGAGGCCCGGATGGCAGAGACCCGTTCTGGGCGCGATCCTCCAGACCTCCCAACCCCGCACAGCAGCCCGGAGCTGTGACTTCAGACCAAGCACGCGACTGCTTCCCACTAATTACCAGGCTGACCCAGCCACTCGGACCGGCGACTTCATAAAAGCAGAGGGAACGCCCTCGGAGCCCCCTCCCTGTGCCTCAGGCTCTTTGTAGCATGACCTTCACATGTGACCGTCACGTGTTTTTTCATTCCCCTTTCAACAAACACGGAGCCCGCTGGACAATGGAAGGCGGTCATGACCGCTCAGAGAGTCTCTTCTTAGCAGGAGGGGGTGGGGTCCGGCCTGTTCCTGTTGGGGGAGACCTAGCAGGTGTGCCTTTGAGATGAAGCCGTGGGAAAGATGAAGCTAAAAAAACAAGAGTTTTACATCCGAGCCTTCACCCTCCTGAGGAAGAAGTAACCGCAGAGAACCACTGCGGAGGCTCTCCACATGGACCCCCAGGGGACCCACAGACAGAGGCAGTGCCGCTGCTAACCCACCCAGTCGTCTCCCTGGGCCCGGGGTGCTTGGTGTCAAACCGCATCTGGACGAAGACATGGCAGACCGGTGGACAGCTGACCAGGAGGCCCTGGCCCAGGTACTGCTGTCGTACTCATCACCATCACCATTGCCAGCACCATCACCACCATCACCAGCACCAATCCCATCACCATCACCATTACCAGCACCATCACCAGCACCATTACCAGCACCAATCCCATCACCATCACCAGCACCATCACCAGCACCAATCCCATCACCATCACCAGCACCATCACCAGCACCAATACCATCACCATCACCATCACCAGCACCACCACCATCACCAGCACCATCACTATCACCAGCACCAAGACCATCACTATCACCAAGACCATCACCAATACCAGCACCAATACCAGCACCAGCACCAGCACCACCACCACCACCATCACCATCACCTTCACCAGCACCAGCACCATCACCAGCACCAGCACCAGCACCATCACCAGCCCACGGAGCAGCCGCCCCCGTTATGCGGAGATACAAAGTCCCTGTCTGCACAGAAGTACCAGAGCCACGATGCTACCATCCAGGTGCGGCTCTCAGACCCACAGCACCACGAAGGGACTCCAGCGTGTGCGCCTGAGTTAGCTGTGGCCTGTGGCCTGTTCTGCAGTGACCGCCACCTTCCCCTGTCAGCACCGTGAAGGCTGAGGACAGAGGGGGGGAGGAGAGGGTCAGAGGTCACTGGCAGAGAGACTAGGGGGACAGGATGGATGGAGAGGCGCAGACACCCTGGCTGGTGTCCAGAGGTAGCAGAACAGCCACGGGAGGTGGGGGCTCATGTTCCCTATTGTAGGCACAGACATTGCCAGCGGTTTAGGAGCTTCAGAAGCGGGGGGACCCCACCTGAGGCTGTTCTGCCGCCTCCAGTTCCCTCACCTGGGCTCTGCGAGGGCTTGTTGGTGTTTCTTTCCTCTTGGAATGGTTTTGGTTTTGGTTTTCTCCCTCATAACCTGTGAGCCGCTTTCCCAGCACCAGGGAGAGGACTGGGCTGGGCAGACTGCTGTGATTCCAGGAGAAGGGCTTAGTTTGTGCAAGTGGGGGGCCCTGGTCCACATGGGGTGCTGTGTCCAATGGTGTCCCAGGAGCCCTGGGGTCCAGACCACACACACATCAGAGTCCTTGTCCGACAACGAGGCGGCTGGGCGTACTGACACGTGAAATTCTCGGTCCCTGTCGCTGTAACGGAGCTGTGTTTGTGCAAGCAGCAAGCATCGTGTTTGGAGTTTCTCCTCCAATAACCGAGGTGACGCCAATATTAACACGGACTGCGGGGCTCTCTGAAACGCACGGAGCATAACAGCTTGAATTTCAGATGGAAGATTTTGTGAAGACCCTATTCCTTTTCCCGTCTCAGCAGATCTTACACTGTAGCTGATCACGTCATCATTATTAAAACAAGGACAGCAGATCAGAAAGTCCGGGGCAGAAAAATCACTTAGCCTAATGCCTGAGTATACAAGTCTGCTCATTTTCTTTGGGTTAAAATTTCTCATCACTCCTCCTCCCCCCAAACAAGAAAGATGTTTTATTTGGAAAGCAGTGTAGTTTCTGGCCAGTGTTTCATTGAAGCCACATTCCTTCCCTGGTGCCTTGTTGTCCATGCCATTAACAGCATCTCTAAGCGGTCCTGTTTATGGAACACAATCTGTGTCATTTAATGCATTGGTAATCTCATTTCCTCCGTGTTTATAGATTTACACAGCCATTAAGAGAGGATATTTTTATTAACAGAACTTTAAAGTCTTAGAACTTTAAAGAGATATAAATCATGGCAAAGAGATATAAAATAGGAAAATCAAAAAAGTTCCACGTGTGTTTCAATATCAATTTTATTAGTGTAGAGAAAATTATTACTGAACTTTTAATCAGTTGTAGGCATGATGCACAATCACAGGCTTCATTATTATCTTTTACTAGAGGCCCGGTGCACGAAATTTGTGCATGGGGTGTGTGTCCCTCAGCCCAGCCTGCACCTCTCCAATCTGGGACCCCTCTCACATTCCAGGACTGCTGGTTCCCAACTGCTCTCCTGCCTGCCTTCCCGATTGCCCCTAACTGCTTCTGCCTGCCAGCCTGATCACCCCCTAACCACTCCCCTGCCAGCCTGATTACCCCTAACTGCCCTCTCCTGCAGGCCTGGTCACCCCTAACTGCCCTCCCCTGTGGGCCTGGGTCTCCCCTAACTGACCTTCTTTGTAGGTCCCCCAACTTTCCTTCACTGCTGGCCTGGTCACCTCTAACTGCCCTTCCCTGCAGTCCTGGTTCCCCCTAACTGCCCTCCCCTGCAGGCTTGATTGCCCCCAACTGCCCTCCTTTGCAGGCCTGGTCCCTCCCCTGCTGGCTTGAACACCCACAACTCTCTTCCCCTGCTGGCCTGATCATCCACAACTGCCCTCCCTTGCAAGCCTGGTACCTCCCAAAAGCCCTCCCCTGCTGGCCATCTTGTGGCAGCCATCTTGTGCCCACATGGAGGCAGCCATGTTTGACCACATGGGGGCAGCCATCTTGTGTGTTGGAGTGATGGTCAATCTGTATATTACTCTTTTATTATATAGGATAGAGGCATGGTGCATGGGTGGGGGCCAACTGTTTTGCCCTGAAGGGTGTCCTGGATTAGGGTGTGGGTTCGCTTGGGGCATGGAGCAGCCTGGGCGAGAGGCCTGTGGTCATTGGCAGGCCGGCCACACCCCTCCTCTGGATGACCCAAATGGAGACCCTGGTATCTGGGATTTATTTATCTTCTATAATTAAAACTGTATAACCTTGAGCAGAGTCCAGGGCCAGCCAGGAAGCTTGGCTTCCTTCATTGCTGGGGGCCACCCAAGCCTTCTGCTCTCTTTAGTTCTGTGGCTGCCACCATTTTTGGGGGGATTTATTTTCTTCTATAATTGAAACTTTGTAGCCTTGAGTGGAGGCCAGGGCGGGAAGCTTGGCTTCCTTTATTGCTGGGAAAACCTAAGCCACCTGCTCGCTCGGTTGCCATAGCCATCTTGGTTGTGTTAATTTGCATGCTTGCTCCTGATTGGCTGATCCGCAAGGCTGTGGGCATAGCAGAGGTACGGTCAATTTGCATGTTTCTCTTTTATTAGTGTAGATGTGACACAGTATACTGTGCAACAATGTATCTTTCCTAGGGGCATATGCAATCCACATGGGCCACCCGCAGGCAGTCCTGTCGTGGGCCTCAGCCAGGCTCCTCAGGGAGTCCCAGGCCCCCCTGCAGCTGGGCATTCCAGAGGCTCCCCTCAGAGGGGTGTCCCCTCCACCAGAAGTGCAGCTGCCAGGCATCATGGGAAACATCTGTAAAAAGAGGTTATGTGTAAGTGGGTACCTTCATAAAGTATGAGTGGAATTCACTTACTTCTCTTAAATTTGTCTCTTTGGCAGGATCACAATTTCAAATTTAAAACACAACATTCTTGGGCACACATAAATCACTGTTAACTTAATTTCAGGATATTAACCTATGAAACTAATGTGGAAAAAAAACCAGAATGTTTCCTTTTGGAGGAATTTAAGCCCAGTGTCTACTCAGAAGAGTACACATTGAAGTAAGGTTTGAAAAAGGAACTGATCACATTTCCAATGATGACTCATATTCTCCCAATAAAATGTGATTTTCCTTTTGGCTCCCAGAATCCAGAGCAGCATGGCTCCACAGTATGAAATTTCTATGTAAGACTTTAAATCTTAATTTAACTACAAAGAGATTGTACATTTGAAGACAGTGCAAGAAAGAATATTGATAACAATTATTTAATATTTCTAGTAGGTTAAAAATTGTGAGTTTTTTGGTGGAAATTAATTTGATTATGGTCAAGACCCTAAAGTTATATGTTGATATCTATCCGTTCATAATTACATAGTTATTCAAAGAAAACCCTTGATCTGCTTGAAAGAACAGTAAACTATAATAGATGAAGTCCCATCAAATGATTGAAGAATAAACAGAGTCCTGCCTCAGTGTCAATGACATCAGTAGGAAAGTACGCCCAGCGATATTATTTTCATTGGGTGACCTAATGCCACAAAGACAGCCTTCTAATCCACGGGTCAAGGATGTGTATCCTGACGCGTTGTATCACTTACCAGGCATCCAGCTCCCCCGGTGGCTGAGACCCTCTGGGGTGTGCAGCCAAGGCCGGGGACAGCTGAAGGGGACGCCCTGTGCCCAGCTGGCAGCCTTCTGCACGCTGAGCCTCAGGCAGTGGAGTCCATACCGTAGGCTCTCCACTGGCAGGTGGTCTGGGGAAGGAAGCCTTGCCTCGGAGAACTCACTTTATGTCTTTGGTTGTTTATGCAAAATATGTTGGCTTATGCCTGTGCTTAGGAGTGTGCTAGTAGCTATCTAGCTGCTGGTTCTTTTTTTTTTTTTTTTTTTTTGGGGGGGGGGGTGCCTCGGTTTGCAGAGTTGGCTAATTTCTGAGGGATAAGCACTCCCTCGGTGGCAGATTTCAGTGACATCCGGGTCACTGCAGGCCAGCCTGAGAGAGAGGTGCAGTAAGGGACCTTGTGTGGTTTCCACCGAGCAGATCCAGCAGAGAGATACCATCAAGGGCACATGGACAGCGAAAAGGAGTATACGATGTAGAACGTGATCCTTTTGAGCTGGGTGGCTCCTCATTGAACTTCCATTTTGAGATAACTATAGTTTCCCATGCGAACATGAGAACTAATTCAGAGCTGCCCCCTGGGGCTTGCCCCAAGGTCCCCCAGCGATAATGCCTCCTAAATGAGAGTGGACCCCACAGCCAGGAACCACCCTGAGCTGGTCAGGACTCCTTCCCGTCACTGCTCCTCGTGTGTGTGTGTGTGTGTGTGTGTGTGTGTGTGTGTGAATATTGAACGGGTCTCGCCTCCATGGCATAAACCCACTGGCTCGTGTAGAACCATGTCCACATGTTGTGGCATTCTACTCACGAAAACTGTGAATGAGGAGGGACATTGGTCTGGCCTCCTGTGTGTTCTCCTGGTTGGGTTTGGTGTCAGGGTTGTGTTAGTTAACAGTGAATTGGGAGGTGCTCCCTCACCTTCCACTTTCAGACAGAGTTCTCCGGCGGAGCCTTTTAGCTGGGCACAGAGTGATAGTGTCTGACAGAGATGGAGAAACGGGGTGGCACGGGTGAAGGGGTGGCACTCCAGGAGGAGGGACAGCTCAGACTGCTCCCTGCACAGTGGGGAGAACACGGAGCTCATCAGGAGACTCTGGGCAGTGCCGGCACTGAGTGTGGGAGACGGCACCCTGCCGCCCCCATGACAGCTCACACCCACCCCTTCTCCGCGCCTGCAGCACTGCACCCAGTCCTCCTCCCAGCCCGTGCGGAGGTCTGAGGGCCCCTTTGGAGACAGGGCGTGAGGGCAGGGCGGTCAGGGCCGTACCCGTGGCGGTTGCTGGCACGGAGGGAAGCCAGGCAGCGGCGGGCTGAGGAGAGCACCCTGGCCCGGCCTGCAGGCGGCGGGACAGGACGCAGTGGGGAGGCGCCTGAGTCGTGCGGTGTCGCTTCGCAGGCGGTGGCATGGACCTGGGCCGGAAGGTGAGCGTGCCGCGGGACATCATGCTGGAGGAGCTGACCCACCTGGCCAACCGCGGCGCCCGGCTCTTCCGGATGCGCCAGCGCCGCTCCGACAAGTACACGTTCGAGAACCTCCAGTACGAGTCGCGAGCGCAGATGCACGTATGTACCCTGGGCCGTGGGCGTGTGCACACATGTGCCCGTCTCTCCACGCGTGGGATCATCAGGCTCCCAAACACCCGTTCTCCGCGGTCCTCCCTCCGACCTGGGAGACCTTTTCTCCATGGGTCCAGGGGAGCTGTGTGGCCGAGTGTGGGCTCGGCAGGGACGTGTGAGCCTGTGCACGTGGCACTGAGCCCGCCGGGCTGCCAGGGGCGGAGGAGGTGGCGGTCTTATCAGGCTGCTCGGTGTGGGTGCGGCACTCCCGGGCACAGGGCGCCCGCAGGGCAGGGGAGGATCCGGGAGCTGCAGACACGCGGGTCCCCAGCACTGACTGCGTGTGGGGTAGGGAGGGCTGTGCTCTTAACCTCAGCGCCAGCGAGGGCAAGCTCCTTGGACCAAAGCTTTCCTAAGCTAGCAGCCAGTAACCAGTAAAGTAAGAAATGGGACAGGGAGGCGTGGACAGACTGACACACCTCGATGTGGAGGCAGGGACACCAGAAGAGATAAATCACAGACTTAAATACCTACCAGAGGCCCGGTGCAGGAACTCCTGCACGGGCGGACCAGGGCTGGACCTGTCAGGAGGAGGAGATGGCGGGAGGTTGGCCGACTGGCTGGAATGCCCTGATAGGTCAACCAGGGCCAGGCCAGCTGGGGGAAGGGGCCTCGGTGATTGGCCAGTGGGACCCACCCCCTGATTGGCATTGGGATGCCGATTGGGGATAGGGATGGCCATGGGGAGGGGCTGTGGGTGGTGGTCCAGCTGACGCCACCGCATTGGGATCGGGGGCTGCCAATCAGGGCCAGTGGCCTGGGGGAGGGGCCATGGGTGATTGACCCGCCAGCCCGCCCTTAATTGGGTGGGGGGCCAATCTAGGGTGGGGCCGGGCAGAGGGAGGGGCTGCAGGAAGATTGGCTGGACAGCCCCACTCCCTATTAAGGGGGTGGGGGCTTTTAGGGGACGTGTCTGGCCAGGGGGAGGGGCTACAGGAGGTTAGCCAGCGGCCCTGCACCCTATTGAGGTGGGGTCAGGAGTGGGGCTGGCCAGAGGGAGGGTCTCAGGTTGATCAGGGTGGTGGGGGCCCATCAGGGGCATGGCCAGCTGCAGGGAAGGGCCGCAGGAGGTTGGCTGGCCAGCCCTGTCCCCTATTGGGGGTGTGTGCGATCAGGATTAGGGCCTTGGGCTGGGGCCTTGGGATTGGCTACAGGAGGTTGGCCACCCAGCCCCACCCCCTAATCAGGTTGGTTCGCTGGCCATAGTGGGCATTATAGCGACCAGTTGTCAGTCATTACGGCTGTTATGGCCACTGGCTTTTTATATAGAGAGATATACACAGCCATGGACACGGGCCATAGAGTGGAGAAGACATGGTGGTAGGGGTTGAGAGGAAGAGGGAAAAGGGAAGAGGAAATGGGAGATATTTATAATACTATATTTAAAAATGAAAAACAAATAACACTAGTAAACAAGCATACTCCCTGGTGCTCAATGCCATTTGCTCAAATATTATCATTTTTAAAATAGAAAATGTAGGTGCAGTTTGGGCTTCCTCTGCTGCCCAGCACTGCCCCAGGGAGCCGCACAAACCTCCTCTGACACGGGAGATGCGCAGTCTCCACAGGAGCCGCAGGCCCGGGGCTGGGACACAGCCGGGCTCCCTGCTCTGGCTCCCGTCACACAGAAAGACGGACAGGGACAGGGCGAGGGAGAGGGGCCTCCGGGAAACACAGCAGGAGGTGGTTCGTGGCGATCACAATTACCTTCCACAAATCGCTGCAAAGGGCATTCAGCAAAACGGCCACGTCTCACAGTTAAAACTGCCAGTGCCTCCAGTGACGAGGACTTCGTGAGCCCCGTGCATCGTAAACAGTGTTTAGGGGAGGGGAAGGTGTGCCATTAACAGTAATTCGGAGATAACACCAAGCCAAATACCCCGGGATTCTGAGAATGTGTTCATTTGCTCAAAAATGTATCTGGCACATATGATAGAACACCTCACCTGAGACCCTTAATTTATGGCCTTCCGTGATGATAAACATTTGAATTTTAGGACAAAATGGTCTTTTATCCTCATATTTCTATAAAGGTAAATACGTATTAAAATGTAAAACAGTACTTTACTACATCACCTTATAAATAAATATGAGCATTAAAACATTTTCTGCTTTTGTCATACCAAAAAAAGTCAAAATTGGTCTTTATTTGATATGCTCATTACTGAATTTTTCTTTCTAAATTTAAAAGATAATTTGACTTTATACTCTTCTTATATAGATGGGCCTTTTTAAAAACACACATTTTTCCCACATGTAAGTAAACACGCTTTATTATAGAGAGAAGGTCTAGCCATACTTCTGAGGACATAACCGATTACAATTCTATTTTCTCTGTTAAAATGCAAATTGGCTATTTTTAAAGTGTTTTATTATTGCCATAGAATAAATCCTGCGTTAGAATAATAAACGAAATTCACCTAAAACTTAAAAGAAAAGCATCTTTTAAGCATTTTATTTTCTAGAGATCCCAAATTCTTTCTTCTACAAATTTATTCAACTTAAAGGACAATGTCTTTGTGTTACACATGACTATTGTTCAAATGTCAGATTAAATTTCAAGACAAGACAAATGAAAGAATCTAACTGAATCCCAACTATAAATAGAGTAGCAATGTGACAATGACTAAGCCCAGTGCCTGCCCAGGATGCTCTGTGTTAGGATAGTAAAGTCTTCAGAACTAATCATACTCACCTCATAGGGAGGTGGTGACGATTAGCGAAATGACTGATACAAAGCCCGTGACACCACACCTGGCACAGTGAGGCTCAAAACGGTGATGAGGTGGACTGTCATCATAAGACAGACCTTGGAGTGACTTCAGTCAAAGCTCACCCAGGACCGTGCCAAGCTCAGCCAATGACCGTGCACACTATCGATGCCCCATGAGACAATGACGCACTATTGCAGCTAAACCCTAAATGTGGGAGGGGCCAGCACGGGGGACACTTCCTGTTGGCCTGTCTGATATTTTTGAGTTTTCAACCAAGTTTGCTTTTGACCAATACAGCACAACCTGGCCATGCAGAATGGGAAGCTGGACGGAAGCCTGTCAGAAGGGGGGTCACAGCAAGCCCCGTTCACTCCTCCCAACACCCCGGACCCGAGGAGCCCCCCGAATCCAGAAAACATTGCACCAGGTAACTCAGCGCCTTACAGATAAAACAATAGTCTCTGTGCATTTAAATGTGCGGCTCCGGTCACGTGGACCCTTCCTCGTAAAAGGTATCAGATTGAGTCTGCTGGCCTCAATATGGTGTGTTCTTGTTTATTAATTACTAGAAGCACTAAAATTTGTGCAAGAGCAGGCCTTCCTTCCCCCGGCTGGAGCACCGGCTTCCCGCTGGCGCCCAGGACCCAGCTGGCTTCCCTCCGCCCGGCTTCGTCAGGAAGACGACTGGTCTAATTAGCATATCACCCTTTTATTATTATAGATTGTATTTTCCATACGAACAGCTGCAGGCCTGTTTTTATAGGCTCAGCCCCCATCTGTGTGTGGGTAAGTCTGAGGTCAATGTCAGACGGAGACCTGAGGAGCCTGCAACGCACTGACGCGGCCGCCTGTCTCAGATGCTCGCTGTGTCTGCTGGCAACCACCGGTTACCTTAAAAATAAAGTCATTTGTAATTATCTTAACGCTCTTTTTGTGTGAAATTATCCAGCCTGTGGAGCGCTATGATATACGTTTGTCTTCCTTAATTTCACAGTAACTCCATGACATTTTCACTACAACCTGCTCTTTAGAGATTAAGAAACCGAGGTTGCGAGTGGCTATGTGTCAGTAGTGACTGAAGAAGAAGTACATCAGTTCCGGTCCCAGACTTACAGTCACAGGGTCATTGCGTCCATGGGTGAAGACACACCGGGAAATACACAGAAATTACGCACTTGTGTGGAGTAGTGAGGGTTTGAGAAATTTAAGAAGGTATAAAATTTTAAATGTCTGGTCTCCGCATACCTGACCTCTGATCAGCTGCAGGAGGAACAGGAAATAGATGTGGGCAGTGACACTGGAGCACTGAACCCCACACAGAGGACAGGCAGGGTGGCCAGTCTGTCCCCAGGGGCCAGAGAGGTCACCTCACACCCAGGCTTCTGCAGGGCCTGACAGGTGAGGAGGGTGCAGGCAGGCCCAGGGCACAGGGAAGGGGAGGGGGGAATGTGGGGAGGCAGAGCTGGGGTCTGGAGCACAGATGTGAGGATCGTGCCAGGAGGCGAGGCTGCCCAGGGGGGTGGGGACAGGTGAGCCATGCTGAGTGGCTGGGATTTTTGTCCTGGGAAGTGAGTGACACGGTCAAGTTTTCCTGTCGTAGGTCACTGGGCGGTATTAGCGATGGGAAGAGCGTGGGGACCAAAAGCAGGGGCTGCAGTGGGAGGTCTGTGTGCGGGGCCCTGGGAGGCTGGGGGTGGCCTGGGTGCAGGGCCCGGGAGGCCTGGGTGAGGGTCTGGGTCAGGGCCTGTGGAGGTCTGGGTGAGGGTCTGGGTGCAGGGCCCGGGAGGCCTGGGTGCAGGGCCTGGGAGGCCTGGGTGCAGGGCCCGGGAGGCCTGGGTGCAGGGCCCAGGAGGCCTGGGTGCAGGGCCCGGGAGACCTGGGTGCAGGGCCCGGGAGGCCTGGGTGCAGGGCCCGGGAGGCCTGGGTGAGGGCCTGGTAGGGAAGAGAGACTAGCATGGAGGACCGGCAGTCAGTGGCTTGTGGATGGAGGGTGAGGGGCTCTGTGAGGACGGGGAGTGGGTCACTCAGTGCATGTGCCAGCGGCGCAGTCTGTGCGAGCTGCTGTGAGGCTCCATGGCATCGCAGAGGTGGTCTGCCCTGTGAGAGGAGTGGGCGGGAGGTGAGCCAGCCGCAGAGTCAGGGACAACGTCCACAGGGACGGGAAGGCCAGGCCCTCCCGTGCAGACACAGCCCCCCACGGTGAAGCCTGAACAGCTGCCGGACACGCCCTGTGTTACTCCCAACACCGCTGGCCCAGGGACAGTCTCCACGCTGCTCCCTGAGTCCCGGCTGCAGCCTGCACCGATGGGTGTGCCCAAACCAATTCACAGCGGTGAGAGCGGAGCCCAGGACAGCGAAGGGCAGGGCCGGTTTACAAACCAAAGGAGTAGACACCTGGACAAATGCACACCGAGGCAGGCTTCCTTAGAACTCCATGCTGTCCACCGCTGAGACTGCTCACTCCCAGGCCAGGAGAGGGACCTTCATCAGTGACTGCGTGACCCCAGGGCGCGGGCGGGAGGCGGGCTCCGTGCTCACTCGCGGCTGTGTTCTCCCGAAGGCTACTCCGGGCCCCTGAAGGAGATCCCTCCGGAGAGGTTCAACACCACGGCCGTGCCCCGGTCCTACCAGTCGCCGTGGGAGCAGGCGGTCAGCGGCCACCCGGAGCTCCTCGAGGGGCTGTACCCGAAGCTGCTCACGCCCGAGGGCCAGGCAGAGCCGCCGGACTACCGGAGCTTCAACAGGTGACCGCGCCGCCGGCGCCCGGCGAGTGTGCCGGGCTGGGGCTGGGCGCCCGGCGGGTGTGCCGGGCTGGGTGCCCTGGGCAGGTGCTGCCGGGCTGGGCGCCCGGGTGGGTGCTGCTGGGGCTGGGCGCCCGGGCGGGTGTGCCGGGCTGGGGCTGGGCGCCCGGGCGGGTGTGCCGGGCTGGGGCTGGGCGCCCGGGCGGGTGTGCCGGGCTGGGGCTGGGCGCCCGGGCGGGTGTGCCGGGCTGGGGCTGGGCACCCGGGCGGGTGTGCCGGGCTGGGGCTGGGCGCCCGGCGGGTGTGCCGGGATGGGGCTGGGCACCCGGGCGGGTGTGCCGGGCTGGGGCTGGGCGCCCGGCGGGTGTGCCGGGATGGGGCTGGGCGCCCGGGCGGGTGCTGCCGGGCTGGCGCCCTACGGGGTCTGCAAAATCTGCTAGAGAACCCCAAAACCTAGGGGTCCTGGGAGGAGGGTCCGGGGACTCCAATCTACTGGGATGCTGACAGCTATCCCGCTGGACTAGAGGTGAGTGAGGGCTATGTCAACACTTGGGTTCTTACCATAGAAAGAAGGCGTTTGCTGTTGCTGTTTTAATATATTTGTATTGATTCTGGAGAGAAAGGGAGATGGGAGAGAGAGGTAGAAACATCAATGATGAGAATCTTTGCTTGGCTGCTGCCTCCTGCAGGCCCCTTACTGGGGATCCAGCCTGCAACCTGGGCCCGTTGTTTTGAGTTGAACCCAGGACCTTCATGAAAATAAGTGCTTGTGCCCAACAACACAGTCCTGGATTGTATAATGGTCACCTCCTTTATTTTTATTTCATTTTTTAAAATAAGTCTATTGTTCAGATTATTATAGATGTTCCTCTTCCCCCCACCCCACCCCAGCACTGTCCTCATCCATAGGTGTAAGATTTTTGTCCAATCTCTTCCCACACCCCTCAGACCCCCTTCCCCCTGAGAATTGTCAGTCCACTCCCTTTCTATGTCCTGATTCCATTATATTCACCAGTCCATTCTGTTCTCCAGACTTTTTATTTACTTGATTTTTAGATTCACTTGTTGGTAGGTATGTATTTGATGTCTTCTTCTTGTTCATAATTTTTTATTTTTATTTTTTTCTTCTTCTTCCTCTTCTTTAAGAATACCCTTCAGCATTTCATGTAATCCTGGTTTGGTGGTGATGAAATCCTTTAGCTTTTCCTTGTCTGTGAAGCTCTTTATCTGACCCTCAATTCTAATTAATAGCTTTGCTGGGTAGAGTAATCTTGGTTGTAGGTTCTTGCTGTTCATCACTTTGAATATTTCTTGCCACTCCCTCTGGCCTGCATAGTTTCTATTGAGAAATCAGCTGACAATCATATGTGTACTCCCTTGTGGGTAACTAACTGTTTTTTCTCTTGCTGCTTTCAAGATTCTCTCTTTGTCTTTTGCCCTTAGCATTTTATTTTATTTTTTTATTTTTTAAATATATTTTATTGATTTTGTACAGAGAGAAAGGGAGAGAGATAGAGAGTTAGAAACATCAATGAGAGAGAGTCATCGATCAGCTGCCTCTTGCACACCCCCTACTGGAGATATGCCCATAACCAAGGTACATGCCCTTGACCGGAATCAAACCCGGGACCCTTCAGCCCCCAAGTCAACGCTCTATCTATTGAGTCAAACCGGTTTCGGCTGCCCTTGGCATTTTAATTATTATGTGTCTTGCTGTGATCGTCTTTAGATTCCTCTTGTTTGGGGTTCTGTGTGCTTCCTGAACTTGTAAGTCTGTTTCTTTCATCAGGTAGGGAAAGTTTTCTGTCATTATTTCTTCTAATAGGTTTTTAATATTTTGCTCTCTCTCTTCTTCTGGCACCCAAAAATTTGGATATTGGTATGCTTACAGTTGTTCCAGAGGCTCCTTACACTATTTTCATATTTTTGAATTCTTTTTTCTTTTTGTTTTTCTGGTTGGGTGTTTTTGTTTCCTCAAATTTCAGATCTTTGGTTTGATTCTTAGAGTATGTTGATCTATAGTTGAGTCTGTGTATATTCTTTATTTGAGACAGTGTATGCTTAATTTCTGAGTGGTCCTTTTCCATATTTTTGGCATTCTCATTAAGGTTATTGCAGGTCTCATCAAGTTTCTCAGCGGTTTTTAGAAGATTCTTGAGTAACCTTATAAATGTGGTTTTGAACTCTATGTTATCCAATAGTTTGCTTTCCTCCCTTTCTTTCATTTGTGATATGTTTCTGGTCACTGCATTTTGTCTGCTTCCTGTGTTGATGGAGCAGCTTTGTGTGGTAGGTAACCTATACGGGCCAGTAGTAGCTCAGCCTCTCCAATCACCTAAGGTGGACGCTCTTGATACACCCCTTTGTGGGCTGAGTACAAAGTCTTGGTGTAGTTAAGCCTTGATTGCTGTTGTTACACTGGGAGGAATTGTCTTCTAGGCCAATTAGCTGTGGGGATCCGCTGTGTCTATCATGGAGAACTGCTGTGCTGGAGACACGCTTATGGTGCAGGACTTGTTTCAGTGGGGCTTTAGTGCTCATTGAGTCTGGCTCCCAAATGTGTCATTTATGGATGTGAGGAGTTGAAATCTGGTGTCTCACACTGACCACTAGGTACACTGGCTTCTGGATCTCCAATGGGGTGCAGGTCAGCTACTGTCTGAGGCCACCCTGCAGGAGCTACAGCAAAAACCACAGTTTTCTCCTCTTTGCTTGGAATTTGGAGGTTTTGGAGCTGTCTGCACCAGGTTGCAAGTTTGCTAGATTAAGCTGTGATGAGGAAGGCCACTCATATGCAAAAGTCACTGCTTGGAGCTTGGTGGGTTTGTAGATTGTGTGGGGCAGGGTTTCAGGGTGTCACTAGGCTAGGGTGTAGCAAACAGCTATGGCTGGCAGCCAACTGTCCCCATGCCTCCGACTGCCTCTCCATGCCTCATGCCCCAGCATAGCTAGCAATTATTCTTGCATGCAGCTCTGCAAGCAAGCCACACTCACTTCCTGACCTGATGGCAGACAGTCCAGCTTCTCCCTGTAGGAGTTTGGGTCCCGAGTGTCTCCCTAGAAACTGGATTTCAGGGAAATCGGGAGCTTGTCTCCTTTCGAGTTGAAGAAAGCAATACCCACCACCAGTCTGGATCACACACGCCTCCATACCTCAGCTTTTCAGTGCTTGTGCACTAAATGCTCTTTTCTCTTTCCTTCTACTTGTACAACTTCCACTCAGCCAGCCCTCCCATGGCTCTGGGTGATAGACTTCTTTTTTTTTAGTTACAGTTTTAAAATTGTTGTGCAAGGCAGCAGTTTAGGTATTTACCTATGCCGCCATCTTGGGTTCTCTGGTCACCTTCTTTAAATCAAACTGCTTGCCATGGACAAAGATGACACCACCCACAGACTCAAATGATCTTTACAATGTTTATTCAAAGGGCTCACCAGTCAGTTCAAAATTACCAGGCATGACAAAAATGACTGAAAATGAAGAGAAAAACAATAAACAACAGAGACAGAAACACAAAAGATTGTAATATCTGACACTCACTTTAAAGCAATTGTGAGAAACATGTTTGAGAGAAGAGATGACAAAAGTGAAGAATTCCAGCCAATTGAAAATGGTTTTTATAAAGTGTCAAATGGAAATTCTACAAAAACAAAAATACTGATACAGCAACTGAAATTGAGAACTCAAAGTGCTAGGTCACTGGATCCATATTAGATCTGCAGGAAATACAGAGGACAGACAAATGCTAACATTTTACCAAAAGAGTGAATGTAACCAGTACAGTTCGGTCTGTAGGACACACAATCCAGTGTCTTCAGTAATAAATTGCAGAGAAGGATGAGAGGGACATCTGTAGCATAAAAATGATCTGAAAGAGAATTTTGAAAGACAGGCAAAACTAATCCACTGTACTTAAACACGCACACCTGGGTTATTGCCATAGAAAGAAGGTGGGGGGGGGGGTTGGTTTTTTTGTTTGTTTGTTTGTTGGTTGGTTGTTGTTTTTAATATATTTGTATTGATTTTGGAGAGAAAAGGAGATGGAGAGATAGAAACATCAATGATGAGAGAGAATTATTGATCTGCTGACTCCTGCATGCCCCCCTCTGGGGATCCAGCCCACAACCTGGGCATATGCCCTTGATTTGAGTTGAACCCAGGACACTTCAGTCCACAAGCCAATGCTTTATCCAGTGAGCCAAACCAGCAAGGGCACCATAGGAAGAAGGTTTTAAAACATATTTTGTAAGTTGATATTGACATGAAAGTCAAAACACCGCCGACCCCTGGATGGGCGAGGGCTGACTGGCAGGCCCCTCAGTGCTCCTGTAGGGACTCAGGACGGGTGCTGGTGACAAGGTGGTTCACTTCTGAATAAGCTTCTGTGCCTGTCTATGAGGTTTCTGTATTCGTGCTACATCCAGTGACAGAAATGTTTTAAAAAAATAAACAAACTTCATGGCAGATTGAACATAGCAGGAAGGACTCACAGACTGAAGTCAACAGTGTGCAAACTGGAGCAGAGGAGACTAGGGGTTCCCACTGCCGGGAAAGAGCAGAACATACTTGGCAATGAAAGCGCCAGCATATGGAGTGGTTAAAGGCTCGGGAGGGGATAAGGGAAAGTGAGGTAGAAGCAAGAACTGAAGAATTCATGGCCCAGAAAATTTCAAAATTGACAAAATACATCAGGCCTCAGATTCAAGAAGTACTATGCGACCCAGGAAACCAACAAAAGTCAGGGCTGCAAATCAGGGAAAAACCAAAGACAATGGAAACATCTTAAAGCTCGTGGAATCGCGCCTTTAAAATTCTGAACTAAATAATGGCCAGCCTGTAAGTCCATATGCAGTAAAAGCAAACACTCTTGGAAGGTGGTTAGGGGGCTATCAGGCTGGCAGGCAGAGTGGTTAGGTTAGAAGCCAGCAGTCCAAGATTGTGAGAGGAATGTCCAACTGCCTGTGGGATTGGACCTAAACCAGCAGTGGGACTGAGGGGTCCCAGA